CCTATTCTTTATTTGATTCCGGGGTCGATTTGGCGGAGACTTCAGCCCCTGCAGTTGGCCCAGTTTTTTGAGGGTCAGGAAGGCAATGGTGGGTCTACGGAGATGGGAATATCTGTCTCTTATACACATCTAGATGTGTATAAGAGACAGGGTCTACGGAGATGGATGTGCACGAGATTGTCCTTGTGCATGCACGCGGGGAGGGTCACAGGGGGGGGGGGGGGGGGGGGGGGGGGGGGGGGGGGGGGGGGGGGGAGAGAGAGAGAGAGAGAGAGAGAGAGAGAGAGAGAGAGAGATCTGATTTATAAAAAAGTTGATCTGTTGGCACAGTGCGTCCTGGGAGGCTTCGGGGGAAAATGGGCATTGTCTTAGTAGAGGTTAACTTTCCAGGATGTCTTGTGCACGAGGGGATTCAGGGATCTCGGAAGCCTTATTATGAAGGGGGTTTCTGAGTGGCTGTGAAGGTGTTCTTTCTGAAGGAGGTGATTTAGGGGATTGCTTGGCATAGTGCCTTAGTGTTTTTTGGGGCGATGTGTTTGGATGCAGTTGTGCCCTCTAATGCTAGATCTCTGATGGTTTTTGGTTGCAACCTTCCTATGGTGTCCTTGGGTGAAACAGCTTTAGACCACAAATCTCTTTCTGTGACAGGACTCTGGAGCAGTTGTGCCCTCTAATGCTAGATCTCTGACACTGTGATGGCTTTTGGTTGCAACCTTCCTATGGTGTCCTCGAGTGAAACAGCTTTAGACCACAACTCTCTCTCTGTGACAGGCCTCTGGACCTGGAATGGTTTCCACGAATGTAAGCAAGAACTGTGGTTGCTGAATTGGGCAACAGCACACGAACTGAGACCCCTGATAGCCAGCGCAGTTGGAAAAAGGGAATGCTGGTTTGAAGAGCTGTTGCCCTTGGATGCCATGTGACTGACCTGAATGTCTGGTTGCTGCACGGCACTGCTAATTCTGTCTGTGATTTCGGCTTATTCCCCATTCGTGTCTTGCATACTTCAGATGCTCCCTTTCCTCCAGGCTTGCCTGGCTGCTTCAGGGGATGACCCCGACCCTTGTCTCTCTGCTTTGGGTGTGCTTTCTTGCGTTTTTTGGTCTGCGGGGGTGGAGCTCGGCCACCTTCTTCAGCTTCCCGGGTCTCTGCTTTGGGTGGACCTTCTTGCCCTTTTGGGTCTGCAGAGCATGGCCACCTTCTTCACCTTCTTGGATCTCTGCTTTGGGTGTGCCTCCTTGCCTTGTTGTGTCTGCAGGGAATGATGCTGGGCTACTCTTCTCGGCTCCATGGCCTTCATGCTATATCTGATATCCGTCTCTTCTTTCCTACAATTTGCACGTTGCTCATTGGCACTTTACCTTTTGTTCTCTGCCCCTCCTTTCTTTGGCCGGTGGATGTAGTTAACATTTGTGCCTCCGTGCCAATACAGGTGAACATCTGGGTGTTTGTGTGGTAACTGTGATGCGATTACAAGATGCACATGTGTGAATGTCTTGTGTTCTTAGGACTGGGCATTATAATGTTTTTTTGAGAGAGGGAGAAGTTGGCTTGAGGATGCCTGCCTGGCAATCATCACACTTAATTTTTTTTTCATCATCTCTTCTCTGCATGCAGTTCAAGTACAAGGGTCAATGATGGATCACCTCCAGATTTTCAACATCGAAGCTAAAGCGAAAATGAAGACATATCAAATGTCTGAGCCAGTAAGTATATCGAGAAACCGTGTTGTTAGTTGCCGAGCATATCGGAGGAATTCTGGCTTGCTCAGGTCAAATAAAAGAGAGAGGATGATGGTGTAACTGTTCCTGATGGGAGGTTGTACCTGTTGCTTTCTCGGTAACATATGGCTGTGCTGCATGATGTGAGATTGCAGCCCGACCACCAAAGGGTTCAATTGGACCTCAAATGCATGTGCGCACTGCGGTGGTGTGGTGGATCTTTGTGGTGTTTGCCATGAGGATCTTGGTTTCCCTGAATTTTTGGCGATGACAAGTATACGACTTGACCTGTCCGCCGACCATTTTGCATGTAACGTATGGAAATTAGCCCACTCAACGTAAAGGAAACAGTTTGCAACATGTTGAGTACGAAGTGGTGTTCCTAGAAGCGTTTGCATGCAGGACAAGGGAAGGGGTGGTGTTACACAGTTCTTGTGATATGGGCGGGGCACTTCTGAGCATGTAGTGGGAAGGTGAATGCCAGGTGGGACTGGCTTATGCTTTCGGTGTGCTGGTGGAATACTGATTGTGGAGGGTAGTTGCAGATTGATATTTATACAGAGAGGAAAGGAGGGGGTTGCGGAATAGTGTTGCATGTGGTTTTCCATGAGGGGGAAGGGAGGGGGGCTGTTGAGTGTCGCTGCACGGTTTCAGCATGGAGAGGAAGGGAGTGGATTTTTTATCAGCATTTCTCAATGTCCAATACATGCAAGGAGAGGGAGAATGTTAAGTGGTATCACATGTTGCTTCCTGCACACAAGGTGATGCGGTCCAGATTGCGTGTTGATCGTTTTGGAGACGACCGGTGGGCTGGTAGGCCCTGGCCCGGTAGTGCCACCCGCGGCACTCTTGGGCCAAATTTTGGCCTGGTAGTATCGTGTGCTGCACTCCGTAGGCCAATATCGGAATGGTACATGCGCTCGGGGTTGATGTTACTAACATTTTTTTTGCCAGGCTGCGCTAGAAAGAAACGGCGAATGGTACACTTGCTCGGGGTTGATGTAACAAAAAGAAACCTCAAACTCCGACCTCAACACTAATGTAAAGGCTACACTGGACTCCGACGCTGGTTGGCTACGACGCTACTCTACGCTACTGGACTTCGACTCTCTACACTTGATGCCACTGTATGCTGCTAAAGTAAACTTTGCTACTCTCCATCTCTCCCTCTCACATAACTACACAACCTCTCACAGACTCGCCTCACAGAATCGACCAAACTTCCCCACTGTGTCCATCTTCCCTTCCCTCCGCGCTCACTTTCCCCCCTCTGCGCCCACCTGCCGCTCCCTCGGTGGCCAACTCCCCTACCCTCCGTGCCCACCTTCCCTACTCTGCACGCCCACCTTTCCTGCCTTCTGCGCCCACCTA